TTTTGTTTCCAGGACATTGTCTGCCATCCAGTCTTCAAATGAAATTGTAAAATTGTAGACCTAGGTTTCTGACATATTCATAAGTGTCACATAAAAAGTTGGGCTATACCGTGGGGGGAGGGACATACAAAGCAACAAAGAAATACATTATAAATATGTTAGAAACAATAGCAAGAAAGAAAACAAAACATTTGAATCCTTATCTTGGGATTCATTTCGCTTAACATCAACTTATCTGACCATTTCTGCTTGTCTCAGACATATACTACTTATTGCAAATAGGGAAAACTATGGGACCTATGTTTCTTTAGGCTTGACTTACTTTACTTAATATAATTTTTTCCAAGTCTTGCCATTTCCTAACAAATGGGGCAACTGTATTTGATGTTGGTATAATTTGTGGAGAGGAAGGGAAAAAACAAATTTTAAAATTGTTAAAATTGGGATACAGGTGGACCCATTGCAACAATTTGATGTATAAGATGTTATGTTGAAAATGAACTTTACAACCTTGGCTTGGAGCTGGGGGCGGGGGGAGGGGGATGAGAAGGGATGGGAAGGGGAAACAAAGGAGGAGGCAACAATGCTTGATAAGAAATGCATTCATTACCTCGCCCATGTAATTGTAACCCCTCTGTACGGTATTTTCACAATTAAAAAAAAAAAGTTGGGCTTACAATTCTAGTTGTGTATGTAATGACAGTTCAGGTGTTCATCTTTAAATAAACCATTCAGATACCGTGTTGAAAAGATGTTAAAAAGTTCAGGTGCTACAGCATGTAAATTGTTTACAAAGTTGTCATCAGTTAGTAGAAGTTGATTTATTTACTATTATGCCTGTACAGACTAACAAGGAAACAAAGTATCATTTAAAATAGAAAAAGACAGGAACACATTTTCCAGCAATCAATAAGCATTTTATTTACTTATATTATAAAATATAATATTAATTCATCATTAATGAAGAAATTTTATTTATTTTGGGTTAGTTTTTTAAATTACAAGATACTCCATATCATATACTGCATATCTAATTCGGAAAATCATTCATGTGTCTCCTAAATCTGTTAATTTATAGTTAAAAAAAATTTACAACCCTTTTTAATCTTCAGCAGAAGTGATGATGTAATTAACTCACATTCTAACCTTCATGTGGTGAGGAGCTCTCATGTCGTAAGCAAGTATAAAAGTTTTGAATTATGTGAGTTCTTTCTTCTTCATCAAAAACTTAAATTTTCATTTGTAAATCTATGTCCCTTTAAACCACAGATATCTTCAAAACACAAAACACCATTAGTTTAGAAAACTAATTAAAAGCCAGTTAAATAACAAAATATTTGGAAATCATAAGCAAAAGTTCTAGAATAGTACTTCAGGCATTGCTGGATCCAGGCATTTAGATACTTCTTTCTCTTTATTTCCCTGAGCTAGATGCATTTCAAAGCAAGAAACATATAGTCAATGCCAAGTCAAGAGACCAAGCAGTCAGCCCTCCCATTAAGCAAGAGAAGTAGACATGAGTTACTTTTTTGTTATTTTTAGTTTTAGCAAAAGGTATTCATCTTATCTTTTAACTGTGCCCATGTTTCCACTCACAAGTGAATGTCACAGAATAAAAGAGAGAAAGAAGAGAAAAGAAAAGGAAAAAGAAAATCAGAGTCAAAGTTCTGTTTTTGTATATTTTAAAGTTTAGAATCTGTTGAAGGTAAATAAGGACATAAGGAAGCTTTATTCTAACATTCTTTCAAATTAAATTGAACTATTATTAAATTTGGCCCTATGTAAAAAAGAAAAATGACTTTGAAAGCCTCTTATGATCATCAATAAAGATGGTTTATATGTCATGTTGAAATGTGGAAATACCTTTTGTCCTGATTTATTTATCAATGTCGATTTGATTTATTTGGCTTTATTGCATATTGAACATTTGAAGATACAAGTGTCACATTTGCAGGTTGAAGCATCTAGTCATATTACAATAATAATAATAATAATAATAATGTTTTTCTTAAGTTTTTACTGTTGGGAAAAATGTAAGTGTTGATAAGGGAAATAATGTCCTTCATTTAATTTCCTATACAACTGCAAATTGCATGAAAATGTCTAATAAGTACAAAAAAGGATCAAATTGAATACATGGTGTCAGACTAAATTTTTGAAAGTCATTTGAATTGGAAATTGGGATGTTTTACTTTAAAGTAAAAATATGTTCAAAAGAGTAGCTTATAAGCCAATCATATTTTGCAAGATTATTCAAATTACTCTTTCTATGAACAATTTTAATCATATCAGACATAGAATAATAGCTCCAATTCAGAATATAAGTCATTTTCCTGCAAGGAAAAGACAGAAGTTGGCATAAGTTAGTTCTTATTTTTGATGTGGGTATTTTTATGCTCTTCTTTATTCTGTCAAATTGCATAAAATATTCTACTCTTAAGACTATTTCCTGAAGGAAGGCCGGGCTTCATTCAGTAAGAGAAGGAAACAAAAGCTCTGGAAATGTTCCTTGGAACCATACATTTAAGATATTTCTTTGTTTTAATAGTTTAGAATGGGATTTATCTAATCGGTTAATAGTTAATTATGTTATCTTCAATAATTTCTCTTTAAGTTTGGTAGGATCAAAATTTGTTATACATTGATAAATTAGTCTTGTCCTGAAAAGGAACTGATATTACTATCTTTTCTTTTCTACTCTCACCTAACACAAACACAGAAGAAAAACGTATCTGCTAAATCACTCTGGAAATCATGAAATGGTTTCCTGGTTATCTTCTGTGTGTGCGTGTGTGTGCGTGCGTGCGTGCGTGTGTGTGTGCGCGCACGCCAATTCTGGAACTTGACATCAGGGCTTAGGTGCTATCTCTGAACTTTTTGGTCTACCAGTTGAGCCACAGCTTCACTTCTGGTTTTTGATAATTAATTGCAATAATTGTCTCACAGACTTTCTTGTCTGGGCTGGCTTTAAACTATGATCCTTAGATCTCAGCCTACTGAGTAGTAAGGATTATAGTTGTGAGCCACCAGCATCTGGCTTCCCAGTTTTTGCTATATGATGTGATTGATATTTTCTGTCCTGGATGACCAGACCTAGTTCTAGAATTGAAAGTATGTGACCAAGCAGGCTTTACATTCTTAGTAAAGATAACATGAATTGTATATACTCTAAGATCCAGTGATTGGTAACAAAATTCCATATGATTTCATTAAAAATAGTATTATTTGATGGGCAAACAATTCTTTATCAGTATACTTATAAAATATCTACAAGTGATTTTTACAATAAACCTTGTTTGTAATTTAATTAAAAAAATTGCTGTCTTTTAAGGGGGAATGTTTGGCTGATCTGCCTATACACCTTCTCCATTAGTGCTTCCTGTAACACCAACAATGCTTGCGGGAGTCTAGTTCCTGAGTTTCTGTCAAGGATGGGGAAAGACCTGCTCAAGGACAATGAGTCTGGCTATATCTTTTTAAAAAAATAATGTTCCTGAGTTTCTGTCAAGGATGGGGAAAGACCTGCTCAAGGACAATGAGTCTGGCTATATCTTTTTAAAAAATAATTTACTTTGTTATTATAGAGGGATTATGATTACATGAGTTAGATAATCAGTAATGTCCTTTCACCATAGTGTCTTCTATTTCCTCATTCTCCCCCAGTTCCTCCCTCCTATCTCCACCCACAAGTTGTATGGTTCACTTCCATCAATGTCCAGTGAGCTCCTGAGAAGACTGATATATTTCTCTTTCACTGATTCGAGGCTGCCTGTATTTATCCTTTTGTATGGCTTTCAAGTGATGTCATAAATACTGCAGTAAGCATTGGCAGAAAAAAATGTTCCTCACCATGAAAGGATTGTTTGGCCACCAAAGACAACTTTGCCAACTAAAGTAGCTAGGAAGTCTTGGGGAATTAATACCCCTGGAAGCCTACTCTACCATTCTTTAGGCTGCTGTTACCCACACTGGTGTTGCTAGACCTGGTAACGCTCTGTCTCCACAGACTTGTCTCACTTCTTTTCTCCTTATTGCTGTTTCCTAAGATCATCTCCTAAATAAACTTCTTGAAACTAAATTGTTACCTCAGAGTTTGCCTCTGGAGCAACTTATAATAAAATCTCTATATCTAAAATTATGTTAAAATTTTTTTAAAAAAGGACCATGGATAAATCAGTTTCCACAGATGATTATGCCTAAGGTGAAGAAGTACAGTTTTCACATTGTTAAGATGGCGGAGATGCAGACACTGAAGCAGTAATGAATAATATTTGACATCTGTCTTTGAAGAAAGTCAAAAAGCAAGTTCATCTGACATCACTAATGTCTGTGTCAAAGTGTTTGCTTCAATCTTAGGAAGACAGGACTAAAGTTATATGTTACCTCACTTAAAAAGTGGTTTTGGCAAGAACAGACTATTTTATGAAATTTCCTGGTATGTCTGAATTTATATTAGAAGTTATTTGAAATGCATAGATTAAGGGAATACAATTTGTGCTGTTGTCTTTTTCTGAAAAGACATCTTCATTTCTGTGTTGAGAAAAGGCCTTTCTTAACTAACAGCCTGATTATCATGCATATAGCACAAAAATGAATAAAGGGATAAGCTATCATTTCTCCAAGGAAATGAAATGAAGATGAAAAAACATGAATGTTTTTTCTAATATTCGGTTTTACGTTCATAATATAATGAACAAGGCATGTATCTGGTTGGTCTAATTAAGATAGGAAGGAGCTATTTGTATAGCTCAAGAGAAAGATGAAGATTTCTCTCTCCTCTCTCCTCCAACTTTTATTGTGTGATAACACTAATGTATCTGACTTAAGACAGTTATTGTTTAGCATTTCCACAATTTGCCACCATCCAGCAATCTAACTCAATTACCAATGAAAAAAATGTATGTTTTATTATTTTCATAAGAAACGTAACAAGAATTTCAGAAGTAACCTTTAAATTCCTTGATTAAATATACTAAGTGCAATTTTAATTTTATTTGTAGGTGTATGTGATTCCATCTGATATACTTAAGAGGAAAAGTGACAGAGGGACTGTTCTGGTGCAGCTGTATGATTGAAGCTCCGTGGAGCTGTGTGTCTGCATTTTTTCCACTCTATTTTGGCAAACTCAGGTAAGAAGAAATAATTACTTTTATATTTCCGAGTGCTTTATCTTGTACTGAGTATTTAAGATATTACTCTGTTGTCCAAAATGGCCAAATACAAAATATAGAATAAAAGGCAGCAGTGAATACCGTTCTTTGAAAATAACTGTTGCGATCATTTTGTTTTATATCATTCCTTTTTTTTCCATTTACAAAAGTGGTGATGCTAGTATCTGAATTCTTTGATGCTTGTTAAAAATTATTTTTGCAGCAAATCTTTTTTTGTTGTATTCTTTGAAACTCTGAATAGCAGTGTCATAGTTCCACTGTTTTTTATATGCCGCACCAATGAGTTAAACATAGTTTTTGTGGCATTTATATTTAATATTCACTGACTATCCTGATAGAAAGATTGATGTATACATGACAAAAATACCATCAACTAGTTCAATGACTATGATGGTTAAGGTGTTTTAATTCTTATTGCTGAGTTTTCTTGCTGAAGGTGGGAATGAGACGCAGTTTTTATCAGTTTTAAAGTGGTTAATGGTTAATATGGTTAATGATTAGTATGATCAATATATTAATCATATTTCCTCATTAATTAATTGTTTACCATATTTTCTCATTCAGTTGATCGCTGTAACAGTACTGAATTAAAAATTCAAAATTAAGAATCTTTGTTTTTTTTTTTATGGTACTGGGACTTGTATTCAGGGTCTCCTCACTGTCATTTAGTATTTTTGTTCAAGACCAGCACTCTACCACTTGAGCCACAACTGCATTCTGGCTTTTGATGGTTAGTTCCTTAGATCTCAGTCTTCTGAGTGGCCAGGATTACAGTTTTGAGTCATTGGCCCCTACCTAGATTTTAATTTTTTTATTCTCTTTCTTACATATACTCAATAAATATTTTCCTTTACATAACATGGCTGGGAAGAAAATGACTATTTATCTGTCATTTATTGATTTCTGTCTGCCTTTTATTTTGCCATGCCATTTCACGATGTTAATTTTTTATTCTCTTTCTTACATATGCTCAACAAATACTCTCCCTTACATAATGTACCTGAGGAGAAAGTGACTATATGTCTGTCATTTATCTATTTCTATTTACCTTTAATTTTACAATACCATTTCAAGTGCCTTGTTTGATTGCAAGTACTCATTCACTCAACTGTTGTTTATTGTAGACGTAATTACACTACTTCTTTACCACTGTGATTATTTAAGCAATGATAGGAATGATGATTGAGATTAAGGACAGAAAGGCACACAGATAGTTCCTTGTTATAACTAACTTTCAATAAAAGAAACACATTTCAGTGACTTAGAGACAGGATATATGAAGTGCCAAGAAAGAAGGCAAAGGACAGTTGCTGGTGGTGAAACTTCGAAATTGGGATGAGGAGCAGTTCACAGTTAAGAGAGAAGCTTTGTTTTAGGCAGTAAATCAAAATAGAGTATCCACTTGAAAAAAGGTACAGGGCTGGAAAAATACAGAGGATGTTGAGGAAATTGGAAAAAAAAAAAAAACCAGGGTAGAAGTAACAGAGTTGTGGGCAATAAATTCTGTGATTTGGATGTTCTACGTAGGTATTCCCATTTTATCATTACCTAGAGCGGAAAGGTTGTGGGGAGAACCAGATAGTTAATGCTATCTTTAAATGACTTTAATCTAGTTGGGATATGTTTCTGAATAAAGGAAAGAAAAGTGCATCATAAAAGGCAGGCTTTTCTTTTGCTTTCTTTATATTCATCATTTGCTGAATACTTGTTATTTGTTATGCAGCAAACTACATACTGTAAGCAACACAAGAGATGAAGAAGATGTAATTTCTTCCCTGAGGATTTTGTAGTGTAGTCCCTGAAACAGTATACCAGTGAATGCCACCATAGCTGTCATTGCACAACAGAATCACACTCAAGGAACAACTAGTGGGCATTTGTGTATGCCACCCTGTGGGTATTGCAAGGGCTACAGTACCAATCAATTTTTCCCCAAGACATGGATGCTGATCAAGGTTACCCACAAATAAGAAGCAGTGGAACTTAATCGAAGGCAAGAGAAGTGGCAGTGAAAAAGGTTGTGATGGATGACATTTAGACAGATGACATTTGGAGGGTGGCAGGTGAAGGAAAGAAATTACTCTGCTTAGGAAAGGGGGCATGTTTGCAGGATTAACAGAAATTGGATAAATAGAACAAAAAATGAGACTTCTGTTGGTAAAATTAGTTTGGTTTCGAACACCAAGGATATCTGATGTCCCTTCTTCTGTTACAATGCTACATGCCACCAAAAACCACCAAAAGCTGGAAAAGTAAAGAACGAATTCCGGCAGTTTGCTTTTAAGACCACCAGTGGCAATTGTGGTTTGTTTGTGCAGTCATATGAAATGAATGTACCACTATTTTTTAGTCTCTTATTTTTATCTTAGTTTTTAAAAAAATGTTTGTTATCTGTAGTTGTCCAAGGGAGATGTCATTTAACAAAGCAGTTTATTAATATAATGGATATTGATCAGTGTCACCTTCAACATTCTCATGCCCCTTTACTTACTTTTCTTAAGTTTGTGGGATATATAATGAATTATTGACTGTTTACTTTCTTCTCTTCCCTTCTTTATTCATCCAAACCTCTCCTATTGGCCCTTCCCGCCTTTTTTTTTTTTGCGTCCAGTCGTGGGGCCTGAACTCTGGGCTTGGGCGCTGTCCCTCAGCTCTTCAGCTCAAGGCTAGCGCTCTACTACTTGAGCTACAGCGCCACTTCCGGCTTTTTTCTTATGTGGTGCTGAGGAATCGAACCCAGGGCCTCAGGCATGCAAGGCAAGCGCTCTATCACTGAGCCAACTTCCCAGCCCTTCCTACCGTCTTGTATGTACCAATTTTCTGGTGCTTATGTTGTTGGGCTTTGACTTAGTCTTTCTAAAAAATTATACGATTCCAGTTCTCCATAGAGTCCACTATGCTTCAGTTAATTCATTTGTAACCACTTGCATACCAACATGTTTACTTCTAGATTTATAGGCACACTCTATTTAACACAAATGCGGGAAACCATGTAAACAGTGTAGTTTTGATAGGTCTATCACACATTCGAGAGAAGAGTGCTAAGAAAGGGCATGAATATCAGTAGAGAGTGAACACTTGTAAACATCTTGGAAGGTTCCTATCCCATTTGATTTCTGGATATCTCCATTTGCATTCTGTATCAATATAGATGGACTGAATTGGTAAGTCAGGTGCCAAAATCATTATTTAGTGTCTTAAAATTAAGAACTTCCATTTGTATTTACTCTCTTTTACTTCCATTTGTATTTACTACTCAGTTGGGTAATATAATTGGATATTAGAATCATTAATCTTCCATTGACTAGTAAGTCTGTTCATTCTATTTTGTACTTTTTTTTTTTTTAATTACATATAACCTCTTTGAAATCCCATTCTTAGCCTTTTCAGGCTTCCATTACATTTCTGAAAGTAGTAATACAGAACTTAAAGGTTCAAACTATTTCTGTGTTTTTCTTCTTCAAATGTTCCCCGCCTAGAGTGTCTGGAAATCTGCATAGGATCACATCATCCCCTACGCATAACACTCTGTACTGGATCTCCCTCACCAACTGGCCAGGGAAAAATTAATTAGAAGGAAATAGGAGACCTTTAAGACCTGACTTATACCTTTCTAAACTTTGAACTTAATGTTTGATCATTCTCTAACATTGATCTCCAGAAATTTATAATTTTCAAACTACATTTTGTTCTTTCATTTTTGCTTTTGTCTTTTTCATCAATAAGATAGATCAATATTCAAAGTATTTAGCAGAATGTCTGATGTTAATGATCAGCATAGAATAGTTTTTTTAAATCAATTTTATTCTCACATCAAAGATGGAAAAGTAGAAAAGAGTCCAAAAATCCAGTAAAATCTCTAAATTCAAACTAAGCTAACATGGAAACAACTGAAAGAGAAATGTAATTTATAAGCTGATTAGAGGGAGAATGGGAAATTTCAGGGTTGGGCTATGGTACTAGCATTGAGGATAGGATTAAGTAAAATTAAAGTTTCATCAAAATATATACAGGAGGCAGTATGTCTTAAAAATCTACCAAAAAAGCCGGGCACTGGTGGCTCACGCCTGTAATCCTAGCTACTCAGGAGGCTGAGATCTGAGGATCACGGTTCAAAGCCAGCCCAGGCAGGAGAGACCATGAGACTCCTATCTCCAATAAACCACCAGAAAACCGGAAGTGGCGCTGTAGCTCAAGTGGTAGAGCGCTCGCCTTGAGCTGAAGAGCTGAGGTACAGCACCCAGGCCCAGAGTTCAAGCCCCACGGCCGACAAAAAAAAAAAAAAAAAAAAAAAAAAAAAAAAAAATCTACCAAAAAAAGATTTGGTTTTGAAACCATAAATAAAGTTTAGATTCAAATATATCTAGAATGTGATTTTCATTTTTTGATATCTTTCAGATATACTTTTACAAACTTTACAGTGTATTAGTAGAAGTTGATAATCTTTCAAATAGATTATTAGAATCATTATTAGAATCGTTAATGATGATAAAGTGTGATGGGATGTTGAGAAAGAAGCACAAATAGCTAGAAATGTATTTTCTGTTCTCTGAGTTGCAATGCATTAGAATAACAGCACTGATCTTTGAGGACAGACTCTAGGGAAATCCCTTAGTGAGGAGCAAATTCAGATCAGAATCAAAGATATATTGTACTTTATCTGCCTTTAGGTCTAAAAGAAAAGCATTGAAGAAATTGAAGAGAATGTTTTTGGTTTCACTGACATTTTAAAATGTATATTTCGCACAGCTAAATGTGTAAAATATATGTCTATTTTAATTGTGATGTTCAAATTGATCCTTACCTATAAAATATTAATACTGGTTTACATTTAACAGTGGGTTAGAAGAAAAAGTGTTCTGAATATTTATGTACTATGTTGTTCCTTCATAAATTAATTGCTAGTTGAATGAAATAATGAATCAGGCAAGTGGCTGCTCATCAAATATGCAAAGTGG